AACCTCCGCCTCCCGGGTTCAAGCGATTCTCTTGCCTCAGCCTCCTGAGTAGCTGGGACTACAGGTGCGTGCCACCATGCCCAGCTAATTTTTGTATTTTTAGTAGAGACAGGGTTTCAACATCTTGGCTAGGCTGGTGTTGAACTCCTGACCTTGTGATCCACCTGCCTCGGCCTCCCAAAGTTCTGGGATTATAGGCGTGAGCCACCATGCCTGGCCAGCTTCATTTTATTTAACCTAACAACTAAAGTGTGAGAGATGCTATGTATATATTTCTGTAGTTCTTTCTTTGAACTTTGTCTTCTTTTCTGTAGGAAGATGAAGATCCTGCCAAAGGTGACCAGAGTCGGTCGGTTGACCCTGGTGAAGATAATGTGACAGAGCAGACCAATCACATTATTATTCCTAGTTATGCATCATGGTTTGATTATAACTGGTGAGTAGACCACTTCCATCTGTGAGCATGGTACTGAGCAGTACAAGAACTTTCCTTGAAATCAGGTTGTGCCTTTCTGCCCATGTTCCTCATCAGAAATTACTCTCACCTTGGATGAAGGGAGATGGAAAGTGATTTTTATCTTTGGAATGTATTTTTTTAAGAAATCAATTTAGGTATTAAAACTAAATTTTGTTGTAATTTAGGTTTGTAAAATTTAGGTTTGTAAGCTTGAACCTAACTTGTTTAGAATCGCTTGAATATTATTGTAAAATGTTTTAAGTTATTATAAAACGTTTTTAAAGCCTAGTTTAAAAACATTAACTGAAAAGTGCCAGAAGTAAACAATTCGTAAGTTTTAAATTGTGTGCTGTTCTGAGTAGTGGAATGAAATCCTGCATTGTCCTGCTAGGGACATGAATCATCCATTTTTTTCAGCATAGACACACTGTACATGCTACCCACCTGTTAGTCATTTAGTATTTGTATCAGTTATTAGATCAGTTCTCAAGGGATTGCAGTGCTTCTGTTTAAGGAACCCCCATTTTAGTTAATAATGGTTTACATGCATTAAAATAGTGATGGTGATAGTTCAGATATGCTAAAGTGAATCTGTGAAGTGCTTCCTTTAAGTGAAAAGGTGATAGTTGCCGACTTAAAAAAAAAATGTGTGTTGAGCTAAGATCTGTGATAAGAACAAATCTTCTGTTCATGAATTTGTATATAATAAATTGTTATAATTGTTCTTTTTTATTATTAGTTTTTGTTAATTTCTTCCTGTGCCTATTTTATAAATTAAACCTTATGATAGGGGTGTGTGTGTGTGTGTGTATGTATGTGTGTGTATATATATGTCTATGTAGGAAAGAACCTTCTCGTATATGGAGGTTAGGCACTGTCCACAGTTTCAGGCATCCATTGGGAGTCTTGGAATATAAACTCTACCGACACGAGGGGACTACTGTATATAAAGAAAAAAGTCGCCTGGGTTGGTGGCAAACACACCTAATCCCACTCCTCGGAGGCCGAGGTGGGCAGATCACCCGAGGGCAGGAGTTCGAGAGTAGCCTGGCCAAAATGACAAAACCCCGTCTTTACTAAAATTACAGAAAAATTAGCTGTGCATGGTGGCATGCGCCTATAATCCCAGCTACTCGGGAGGCTGAGGCTTGAACTCGAGAGGCGGAGGTTGCAGTGAGCCGAGATCTAGCCTTTATACTCTAGCCTGGGCAACAAGAGCAAGAATCTGTCTCCAAAATAAATAAATAAATAAATAACAATAGTAATAATTCTCACTACCCTATAATAGCTTTTTAAATTTAAATTTACATTTTTTTTTTGAGACAGAGTGTTACTCTGTTGCCAGGCTGGAGTGCAGCGGCATAGATCTTGGCTCACTGCAACCTCCGCCTCCCGGGTTTACGTGATTCTCCTGCCTCAGCCTCCTGAGTAGCTGGGACTAGAGGCGTGTGCCACCATGCCCAGCTAATTTTCGTATTTTTAGTAGAGACGGGGTTTTACCATGTTGGCCAGAATGCTGTCAGTCTCTTGCCTTGTGATCCACCCTCCTCGGCCTCTCAGGGTGCTGAGATTATACAAGTGAGCTACCACACCTGGCCTAGCTTTATTTTAATAGGAAACATTTTAACATTAGGAGGCTTTCAAATATAAATACTGGCATGTAAAACAGTTTAAAAATAAACAGACCTCCTTAGCATTCATATTCTCTCTTTCTCTGTCTCTCTCTCTCTCTTTCCTTCCTTCCTTCCTTCCTTCCTTCCTTCCTTCCTTCTTTCTTTCGTTTTTCTTTCCTTTTCTTTCCTTCTTTCTTTCTTTTCTCTCTTTCTTTCCCTCCTTCCTTCCCTTCCTCCCCTCCCCTCCCCTCCCCTCCCTCTTTCCTTTTCTTTTTCTCTTTTTCTTTTTCTTTTCCTTTTTCTTTCTTTTTTTCTTCCTGGCGGGGGACACAGTTTCGCTCTTGTTGCCTAGGCTAGAGTGCAATGGCATGATCTCTGCTCACCACAACCTCTACCTCCCGGTTTAAGTGTTTATCCTTCTTCAGCCTCTTAAGTAGTTGGGATTGCAGGTGTGCACCACCACACCTGACTAATTTTGTATTTTTAGTAGAGAAGGGGTCTCACCATGTTGGTCTGGTTGGTCTCAAATTCCTGACCTCAGGTGATCCGCCTACTTCCTAAAGTGCTAGGATTACAGACGTGAGCTACCATGCCCAGCTCTCTCTGTGATTTTTTTTTTTTTTTTANAACATGAGTGAAACTCCGTCTCAAAAAAAAAAATAATAAAAATAAATAAATAAATAAATAAATTGATAAAGAGATAAATGAATCCATCAATGAAATGGCAAGGATTTTGCAAAGGTGTTTAGGTCTTTGACTTCAAATATACATATATTTTTTACCAAGTTCTTCCTTTCTTTCTTCTCCTGGTATATATAACCATATATATATACATCTATATATTACTGGTATATATAAATCCTTTGGATACTGTCCCACAGTTTAAAGACATTCTGTTCTGTTTATTTTTTTATTCTTTTTTCTCTTTGCATCTCTGTTTGGGAAGTTTATACTGGTATAATGAAGAGGAATTCCATTCCTGTTGTTGGAAAATGCTTTAATATTATCCTCTGTAGAAATCTTTCTGATAAGAGGATTTTTTTATGGAGTATGACCTCTGATTTCACAGTGGTAATTTCCCCCCACTCTCCCTCCCAGCACCCTGAGAGGATCTTTCTCAGACCCTTACTGTGTGAGAACTTGGTGAGGTTCCTGGTGAGCAATGTCTGGGAAAGTGAGAGGATCCTCTTATAATTGGGGCCTGTAGGAGGTTCTCATCCTCTGATAGTCCAATCTTTAGCTTCCAGCAATCCATCACAAGTACTAGTCAAGTAAGTGATCCTACCTGTTTGGTTCTCTAGCAGCTTCTGTTCCAGGTGAGAAGACTCTCTCTAACTTACCTTTTATTCCTACATATTTTATGGTAGTAATTTGCCCTGCAACCTCATTTTTCTAATGGGTTCAGGAAAGGTTGTTAATTTTCTGTTTGTGCAGCATTTTCTTGATGTAAGGAATGATGGCTTACAAGGTCATTTCAAGTCAGAGCAGAAACTGGAAGTATAGATTCACTGTGAATTTACTGTGTTCATTGGCCCTTCTGAGGCATATAGCACTGCCACATCCTTTCCCTGCTTTTTCCTATGCTAATAAACTATAAACATTTAGTGGTCAGTAATAAATTGTTTCTCTCCTAGACACTTACCTTGTTAGCTATGTCAAGAAAAATGCGGAGTTGTAGGGTAGTTTCTTCTAGGACAACTGATAGATTTATCTTAACTCTATGATTGTTTCTGTTTACTTATTGGTTATGGGCCAAAGCTAATTTTTTAGTCTGAATCGCAGCAATATACTCTGAAGATGGAAACAAAAAAATGTAAACTATGGTTTTCCCGTGCAGGTTTCATTTCCTCAATTCTTGCCTAATACGTTAATCGCCAATTCTGGAGAAATCATTGAGAAGTATTCTGGGAACAGTAAAACGATTTTGTAAGCTTGATGAACACTGTGACAATAAAGTAATTAATAGTCCTAAGCAACTATTATTTTTTCCGTGTATGAATTACTAGAGTAGCAAGAACTGGATCATTCCAGTGATCACAGTATTTTTGTTAAGGCAGTCCATTTCTTCATAGGAATATTTCTTTATAAGATAATTAAATAGTTTTAAAGCAGAAACATTGAAATTTTTATTATGTAGAGAAACAACAAACCATGGAAACCAAGCATACAACCAAGTATACATTTTTCACCTAGACGCCAGAATATTTCTCTCCTCTTTTTGTGTGGTATCATCTAGTTTCTCTACCAGCAACAATCTTACTATTATTGGAAACGTTTCTGCCATACATATGTGAGCTGAGCCAAGTATTTAATTATAGGCTGTTTCTCTTTACAAGAACCTGACAGAAGAACCATTTTTTTGATAGACTGTTGAAGGAGAAATACTGTAGCTTGCCAAAATGATGGAACACAGAAAATTACAAATTTGACTGAATGTTCTGCTTTTCGGCAGATGTCTGTAGTAGTAATTACAGAGGGTAGGAGGGTACTCAGTGAGTTGTCTAACTATTGCCAAATAAAAAAACAAATCCATGTTTGGTTAAGGAGAGACTTTATTGGAAAAGACTGTTGCATAAAGGGGAGGAGGACCACTGCAATTGAGTAAAAAATGTGAAATCCTTGAGCCTCTATAAGGTCAAACATAAAGGTTTTTTTTTTTAAAAAAAAAATAGGGAGTAAACAAGGCTAGAGGGAACTCGGTGTAAAGGAGTGAAACAAACAGGTAACTTTATCAGACAGGTTATCAGGCAATGTTTACTTCTTTTTCTTTTCTTTTTTTTTTTTTTACCCAGGCTGGAGTGCAATGGTGCGATCTCGGCTCACCGCAACCTCCGCCTCCTGGGTTCAGGCAATTCTCCTGCCTCTGTGATTTTTTTTTTTTTTTTTATAGGCAGCACTGTGGCATGCTTGGAGCATAGTTGGATGTAACAGGAGTACCAACTGCCTTTTTTGTTAATTACATATGAGGTGTGGCTGTTTCATATTAGGCTGATTTTTGTTTGTTTGTCGGTTTTGTTTTTGAGACAGAGTCTCACTCTGTTGCCCAGGCTGGAGTGCATTTGACATGTCTTATTTTTGTCTGACATCATGCTATGACTCAAATATTGAGACTTCGCTGAGTACATTTAAAACCGACTAAATGCTATTTCAAAATGTTTTAGTAAATATAATGTGGAACAGAGTAAATATTTATCTATTTGAACATCAGTCTTCATTACATTTGTTACTATCTTTAATTATTTTTAAACATTTTTAATTATTAAAAAAAATTTTTTTGTGTCCTAATCATTTGCAATTATGTGTTTATTTTTTTATTTTTTATTTTTTTAAGATACTAGACCCATGGGGAAATTGATGGGTGAAGTA